GCCGCGCTCGGCGGCAGGCGCTGGCAACGAGTCCTCCCCAATTGCTTTGGTGCCAATGAGTGTGACCTTTCCGACGGGGGACGGAGTGACCAGGTCTGGCTCTGCTACCGCATGGGGGTAACCAAAATGTATCCCGCTGGTGCGTAGAGCATGCTCGGGGATACATTTGCTCCTCCTTCTCAGGCCGCGCTCGGCGGCAGGCGCTGGCAACGAGTCCTCCCCAATTGCTTTGGTGCCAATGAGTGTGACCTTTCCGACGGGGGACGGAGTGACCAGGTCTGGCTCTGCTACCGCATGGGGGTAACCAAAATGTATCCCGCTGGTGCGTAGAGCATGCTCGGGGATACATTTGCTCCTCCTTCTCAGTTCTCTCTTTTGATGCACAAACACAAACGGAAAGGAAAGCAAGATGAATGGAATGAAATGTCTTTTTTCTTCCATGGCATCTCAGGAAATAGCCATGGCAAAACTGTGATCCCAAAAACCATTATTTTTGTTTGTTTGTTTTAACAAATAAATCTTTCCACTTGCCTACCTTCTAGCAATGTACCAGATACTAGTGCTCTGACGTTTCCTCCTGTGGAAAAGTCTTACAATGTCAAACGGCTCTTTACCATGAGGCTGTTTACCCCCACAGGGCAGCATGCTTTGCTCACAGTCCCACAGACTCTGCCCAAGGACCCAGTGCAGTATTTTCTAGAAGGTTGGCAAGTGAAAAATGGCAGTGCGACTAGTGTGCTCTGTCCCAGCAGCCTTAACCCCCTCGGTGCTGCTGCTGCTTTTTGGAAGCAAAGGAAAAAAACAAAAAGGAAAAAAGGAAAAAAAATATATTGAGAAATGGCTTTTTTCAAGATTCTTATCAGTGAACTGAACCCAGCGAGCTCTCAGGATGCAGCAGCCTGGCCTCGTGCTTCCCCTCGCTGCTCTCAGGCAGGTCACAGCCACACGGGCAGCCCTCCCGCACGCCCCAGCCAGCACTGCTCCCCCAGGGCCACTGCTCTGGGCTCCTTTCAGGCTCCCAGAGCCTTGTTCTCTCTCTTTCATTTGCTGGCTCTGCTGTGAAAGGCAGTGTCCTTTAGTCACCTAAAGGATCTCTTGCTCTTAGAACGCCGCTGTGCTTCCCCAAGGGAAAAAAACAGCCCAGGCAGGTCAGACAGAGCCTCCAGCTGCCCTAAACTGGGGTTCAGGGGCAGAGTGGGGCTCAGCCCCAAAAGCAGCAGGGGAAAGGAAGTGTGAGGCTGGTGGCCCACGGGTGTGCCCATGGCTCAGTGTCACTGCCAGGCACCTCTGACCCTCCCAGGCTCCCCTGCCTGAGCAGCACGGAGGTGTTCCAGGGATGGGAGAAGGCAGGGAGAGCAATGGCCCCATGGAAGGGGCTCAGGGGAGCCTTGGCACTGACAGGCACTGGCATTGCTGGCTCCCATGTGGGGAGATGTCCTTGTCTCCAAAGGACAAGAGCACGCACCACCTGTTTTTGGAGTCGGTCCTGGGTGTGACAAGAGCTACCGCACTGTTGGGGAGCAGGCAGGGAAGGGGAGGTGATGGAAACCAGCCCTGGAGCATTTCTTCACCTAAGCACCGCGCAGGGATGCTCAGTGGCAGCAGATCGACCCTCCCATCTGCTGGTGAGCACGGCTGGAGCCAGGGAGCAGGGCAGAGGGAGCCAAGCCAACACCACTTGCTTGGCCAGGGCAGGATGTGGCTCCCGCCCCGGGTTCCCAGCATTTTTTTTTAAGGGGTCTGTCCCGGTTGGAGCTGTGCTGGGAGAGACAACACGGGCCAGGGGCAGCTCCCGGGAACAAGGCACTACCCTACAACTCACTGGGCGCCCAGTACCGCCCAGCTGGAGTCGCTGGGGTGTGGGGGTGTGGGACAGAGGGCCCCATGCTAATCCACAGCTCTGCATTCACTGGTTTGGTGAAGGAATGGAAAACGCACCTGGTGGAGATTTGCTCTAAAAACGGTTTGTCCTACCTGCAGGTTTTTCCTCCACACATTAACGGCCGCAAACGCCAGCTGCATCTGCTTCCTCCGCGCGTCCTTATGCCTTTTGTAAGCTATTTCTATGAATATTAAAAATATCCCGGCAACAATACCTCCAGCCACCAGCATAAACACACCTGAAATAAGCAGGAAAGTTACAGGGGGCAGTGGAAATTGCAATGACAGTTCATTTTCGCTGTATCACGCTCAGCAACAGGAGACTCTGTCACCCCAGGGTCCCTCCCACCATCCCCTGCAATGCTGGAGGGGCCAGGGAGGGGAACACAGCACGTGCTGCAGGGCGGGCACCCATGGTGATGAGCACCCAGGGTGGTGGGCACCCATGGTGCTGGGCAGAGGGGATGGGGTGCTGGATGTTTGTGCAAGCTCTGGGCTGGCAGGCACAGGGCAGTGATGCTGGGAGCAGGCACAGGCACCCTGTCCCCGGGGTCTGTGGGGTGGTTTGCACCTAAAAACTCAGTGCTCCAGTTTGGCTTGATGGGAAGGACAGCCATGCACAGAGCTCTGTGCTGTCCTCAGCCACCTGCAACCTTTGGGACTGACATTTTTGGAGAGGTGTCTTGAGGAGAGAGAGCAAAATGCTCCTTCTCTCAGTGCTTCTGCTCTGGCTGGTGGTGCTGGTGAGGATGAGGTCCCATTAGACATCCCTCATCCCTCATCACAGCACTAGCTGCAAGGGAGAGCCTGTCTGGGGGATCTCACAGTCTCTGCAAAGGGGAACCAAAGTAAAATCCCCTCTGTATTGATTATCCTCCTCCTGCCCTCTGCCCAGGGCTCCTCAGGGCTGGGGGGCTGTCTCTCACTGCCAGCCCCTCCTGCAGCAGGGTCCTTGCTCACCTGCTTCCCTCTCTCTGCCTTGGTGACAGCTCTGATTCCACCGTGACAGCCACAGTTTGGCCAGAGCAGAGGGAGGGGAGCACTGCTCACAGCAGGACAGCCCCACTTGTGAGAAAGGCACCCAGGGAAGGTAGGGGAAGCTGTTTAGAACAAGGTGAGGTTGGAGCCCACCACAGCAGCCTCCCAGCATTGGGAAAGCACAAACCCAGAAGCAGCAGAGATTTGGCCAGAGAAGAGAGCCCTGGAGAGGAGAATGTCTTGAGCAAAAGCAGGTACCCAGTGAGGGGGAAGAAAGAGGTTTGCAGAACAAACCTGCCATGTTTTCAAAGGTGAGTGTTGCTGGGGCATTGCTACGGGAATCACACTCTTGATACCTCACCCAAGTCTTGTCCAAATCCTCCATGAAGCCGTTCTCGTGGGACCTGGAATCACAAGGAGACAGGACAGCGTAGTCACTGGGGACCAGCCACAGCAGCTGGGGCACACACCCTTTGTGCCTTCATGCCCTCCGTCCTAGGACTCTGCATTGCCTGCACAAGAACTAATGATGTGTTGACTGCATGTGTGACCTTTGCACAGAGAGTGTGTGTGTGTGCTGTGCCAGTACTGGATGTGCTCACACACTGCCCTGCACACAGCCAGTGTCTGGTGTGGTGGAAGTGAGCAGGCACTCACAGCTTCCCAGTGCCACTGCACCATGTGGGACAGCTGGGGAGCTGGCAAGCTGCTGATAAGAAGAGCCATGTGCTCCCAAGGAGAGGATGGAACTGGCAGGTGTAGGCAGGGCTCAGGGAGTGTGTTTAGAGAGGCTGCAGGGAGCAGACATGAACCACCTCTCCTGGGGCTCTTCCTGCACGATCTCCCCACCTGACAGGGTCACTTGGCAGCTCAGGGCTTGCTGGGCCCCAGTCTTGTCTGGGGATCCCCAGCACCCTCTAGGTCAGGGCACTGCTGCCTGGCAGTGCACAGCAAGGGCTGGGACCCCCCAGCAGCTCGGTGTCACAGCCTGGGAGTAAAACTGTGTCCCCACAGTGCCCATTTCTGGGGATAGAGGTGAGCACAGAGCACACATCCCACCATAGGGCCCCCTGCACTTTCCTCTCTCTTGTACCTGGCACATCTCCACTGCCTTTCTGGACCACCTGGGACTGCCCTGGGCTTCCCCATCCAGACACCAAGGACTCCTGTGGCCTTTTCAGGCTTCTCAGGTTGTTGTCCCAGATCCCATCTGTCCTGTTGCCACCCAGCCCCATGGTAAGACCACTCCACAGACGAGGTCCCATGGCTCTCTACATTACCCTGGGTCCTGCCTGTCTTCCACGTGCTGCCCATTCTCTCTTGGGCAGGATCCTGGTGGCTCCTGACCTTGTCCCTCCTAAAATGAATCTCACATGCCCCCCTCCCTCCATCTGCTGCTTCCCAGCTGCTGTTACTCTATCACCACATTCCTCTATCTGCAACAAGTGTGGCATTTCCAAACTAATACAAGAAAATCTTGTCCATAATAACCTTTTGTCCATAATATCAGGACTTGTGGCACCCCACACTGGAGGCTGATGTGAAAGCCTTAGTTGGACTCAGTGGGAGTCCTGACATATCTCTGTCTAACAGGAATAGTCAGAATTGAAAGAAAAAACCCCGTAAGACCAAGCCAGGGCAATGCAAGGCTGATGGCAGGCTGAGCCTGCAGGGAGAAGCAGGGAGATGGCAGCACCCTCACCCTGCTCACAGGGACCTGGTGCCAGATGCCACAGCTGCTCTCTGCCAGCTTTGCCTACATTCCTGGCTGAGCACAGATCCTGCTCCCTGCCCTGCCCTGCTCTGCTCTGCCCTCCCACCAGCTCCATGCTGCTTCTCCAGCCCTGCAAGCCAGATGTGAGGCTGTGGGCGCCCACCCTGGTCCCTCAATGTCTCCTTTGTCACAATGGACACGGCAGCCCCAGTGCCCCTGTCCCTGCAGAGGTTTGGAGGGTGGGCTGGAGTGCCTGGCACGAGGCTACTTGCGTGCTAACACATGCAGCAGTTGGGGCAAGCCCCATGCCAAGAGCTGTGTACGGACTTGAGGATGGCCAGGGAGACGTTCTGCTTCCAGGGGCTGTCCTTGCGCATCCCGATCCCGAAGCCGGAGCGGAAGAAGAGCTCCCCCGTCGTCACCAGGTCACACTTCTGGGAGGCCTCGAACTCCAGCACTGCCGAGTCCCAGATGAAGGCATGGAGCTTGCTGGACACCGAGAGAGGACAGACAGGTAAGGTTGGGCAGCCCAGCTTGGCTGGACACCACCGTGGGAACACTGAGGGTGCTCCCAGCCCTGATTTAAGCACTGAACCCACCCAGTCTTGCACAGAAGAAAGTGCAGAGTCCAGAAAGGGAGGCCATGGCCATAGCCAGGGCCACTGTGCTGTTTCCCACACAGCTGCTCTCCATCCAGCAGCCTGGAGGGCACTAGGACTAGGAGATGCCACCCAGCACTAACTGGGAAGTCTCATCAAGCCATGCTTTGACTGCAGCTGCCCCAGACCCTTCCCAGCATGGACAGGCAAGGTGCTGGCCCCACTCACTTGTCCCTCACTGCCTGGATGGCTTCAGCAGCACTCTCGTAGTTGTGCTTCTCCATGTGCCGGTACATGGTGCTCAGCTCCACCTGCCGTCGGAAGTAGATGTCCACGGAGCTCTGCTTCACTGTGGCGTAGATGAACTTATCGGAGGGGTTACGCAGCTGAAAGGCAAGGGAAAGACTCCTGGTTTGTCTGTCCTTCATCAGCAAAACTGCCTCACCCCAAAGCTGTGTTCCCTAGTTTTCCATCTCCTTAGAATCATAGAATCATTAGGGTTGGAAGAAACTCTAAGATCATCAGGTCCAACCATTAACCTGTCACTGCTGTAACCCCTAAATACTAAACCATATCTTCCAGCACCAGATCCAGACACCTCTTAAACACCTCCAGGGATGGTGACTGCACCACCTTCCCGGGCAAACCTATTCCAATGCCTGAACACCCTAACAGTGACATTTTTTTCCTTCAGGGACCTGTTTCCTAGAGAAGACCTTGATCTCCTAAGAAGGTGCCATGGGGCAGTGGATGCTCTGTGGCCATGGTGGTGGGACAGGAACAAACATGGCACTGAGGGAACAGGTGGCCTGTGGAAGCCATGGGGCTGGCAGTGCCCTGGGCAGTGGACACAGCAGGGTGTGGGACACTGTGGGTCTGTGTTGCTGCAGGGTACATTCCTGCATGCCAGAGCTGATAAGCCGCATTGTGTCCTTGCCAGAGCAGGAAATGGATTTGAGGCATGTGGAGAGTATTGACTGCACCGCAGGGACAATTTCATTAGTTATAACTCATCCATAATGAATTGTTTCCTCGTTGGTTAGCGCAGGCTCTCCAGGAACTGGGAGAGGCAGTTTGGCTGTGTATGTGCTATCTCTGGGCAAGGTTTTTCCTGCTAATCCCTCCCCATGTCTGTCCATTCCCACCCAGTGCAGGGGCTCAGACCCACCAGCATCAGCCCAGGCAGAGCTACCTGGCATAATCCACACAAGACTCTGAGTATGACAAACTACATTATATATGCCCAGAAGTGGACAGGGAGGGGGAAAGCAAGTGAGAGGTCATTACCCGGGGGTCGTTAATGCCTGTGATCCTCTCCTCAGGCCTGTCTAACACCAGGAAGGCTGCCAGGTTGGCAGTGTATGAAGCCACAATGATCATAGCAAAGCCAGCCCACACCATGCCAAGAATACGGGCAGAGAAACTCCGAGGAGCACCTGGAGGGAGAGAGAGGAGATCAGACCAGCACAACAAAGGCTTGGCTTGGTAGACAAAGACACATCAATCCAGGTGAGACCAATAGCAACTGCAGATGTGCACCGTCAATCTGCTCTGCCAACAGCTGTGCAAGGAGCTTCTGCATTGCCCAAACCAAGAAAAACCCAGCTCCTCCCAGGGCATGCTGTGTGCCACCCTGGGCAGCAGATCCAGCCCAGGAAAGACCTGTTTCCCATCACTGATGCTGGGAGTAGCAGGATCACAATTGTGCCACCCTCAGCATCACTGAATCTCCTTCCAGCCTGTTCCAGGGAAGGTTCAGGGGATGATGTTCCCACAGAGCACCAGCCATGACACAAAAGGAGGCAGTGGAAGAGGGCACAGGGTCTCCCCCAGCCTCCCCCGCTCAGGCTGCAAGGCAGAGCAGTCCCACTGTGTGCTGTG